TATATATATATATATATATATATATATATACGTAGATGTATTACACATATTGTACATTCTGAATGTGTCATATGGTTCAAAAATTTTCTTTCCACGTTGCACGTATTTTTCAAAATATAGAAATTTAATCAGTGAATAATAATGTTGTTATTTATCCAAGTTCAAAAAGTTGAATTATGTAGAATACCGTAATATAAATCGTACATAATTATACAAATCTAAAGATCTTAATTAAATTTATCATATAATTTATTTTTATACATACATTATTTGAGAAATTGTATACTAAAAAGATTTAATAAAATTTTAAAAGCTATACGCAGCCATCGAAATAAAAAATACATATACAACTAATTTAAAAAATAAAATCTAAATGCCTTAGATATGATTAACAAATGTAAATATGTAATTAACAATGAAAGAGATAGTGAAACGAAAGGAGAATGTGAGAGTATCCGATGGAATCAAAAAGATTTTGACAAATAAATGAGTGAAAAGCATAGACGGAACATCTATGGAATAAGAGACTGAACAAGACATAAGACAGTTGCATGCGACATGAAAGACGGCGCAAGATACATATAAAATCGTCATTATGAAAAGCGATGATGAATCAATGTCACTATTGAACCACAATATTCATATTGTTTTTGTTACAACTAGGAGGCTACACAATAATTAGAATCTATAAAAGAAATATCATTTTCTCACGTTAACCATATCGACGCCAATTAGAAAGCACGTTTTATATCGCGTTTCGACGAAACTTATAATCCATGTTAGACAATGATATTTCTTTCTTCGCAAGACGATATCCAGTTATTTTGCATGTATAAAGAGAGTTACAAACGTGACGATTACATGCTGAAGCCAGTGAATCAAATACTATTGCTACCGCCGCGGTGATTGCTACGCGATTACTCATCGATAACTGAGTAATCGTATTATATAATGTTATTCACGACAGGGATAAAAGTACAAAAAGCAGGAAGAGTAATATGAGTATGAATTCGTCAAAAAAGAGAAAGTGTAAGAAAACGTGAAATGCTGTCATAAAATAAAAAATGAAATTGAAGGTATACTTTGTCACATAGTTAATGACTAACAATTGCTTATAGTCATTATGTGGAAACAGGAAGAAGAAAATTACATCGGCACAATAATTTGTTTGCTGGTTCAACAGATATTACTAATTATTATTTTTCAAACGAGGTAAAAAATGATTTTTAAAATCTGAAAAGTTTGTTTATAATAATCGCAGAAAGTTAGATGCATTTTAAAAGTCTTGTTACATCAATACGAATCGCATTCAATCGACTCGTGTTACGATTTATCAGCTACACCGCGACTGTTCAGTACAAACAGAACTGCTTTATCGAACGCTTATCGCAAAGCCTATTATAATACCGCTTATTGCATGCTGGGAGAAATACAATGAGCTTCAACTGATTTGCGTAATGGCCTTGTACTGTATCGTGTTTAATTCTTAGAAAATTCCGACTCAAATTCGATACATACGAAAATTCAGATTCATCGCAAAGAAACATGCATTTGTGAAAAAGAATTCATCAAATGGATTTTACATACAATAATAATTCTGTGACGGGATGCGCAAAAATATTTTACATATGAATCGTTTAAGATTATTTAAGATAGAATTTTTGCTAAATATTTGTTCGTCCAATTATAATATAGACTTAATTATTTAAAAATAAATGTATGCTTTATACGTTATGTAATAATTATTTTAAACATTTACTTTATTATATTTAAAAGAATGATTTTATTTATTGTTTATGTAGAGTATTGCGATGTTGATATTCATCAACTCCTGAATTCAAGTAGCGCGCACGTGCTATTTATGCGCAGCCAAACGTAGAATTCGATTACACTGGAAATTCTCTCTGGAAATCGTTGCAACTGCCTAAAAGTATACGTCAACGTCAGGCTGTGAGGTATTTTCCTCAACTGTTGGAATCGGTCATAAAAAGGCGGCATCGCTATTCGATTCGATGTTGCGAATGGCTATAACGTCTCCATTTCCGCGCGTTTACATTTAAATCGGCGCATTAGCGACTGCAATTTCATTCCAATTTACAACTTCACAATCCCCGGTACGGATTCGGCGGATGAGTTCTTCACATCCATGATATTCGGGCTCGCGTGTGCGTACGCGTACACAAGTACTAACGTAGAACGGAACGAAGTGTGTTCCGTGACAAAAGTACGAATTTCCGCCGGTAATTGAGCAACTTCTCATATCTACGTTCGTGATATTGTCAGCTTGTCGCATTCAACTGAGACATGGATTCAAAAATAAAATTAATCTGTTTAAATAAACTCACTTTCTTCACTGCGTGCTCCCTTTTTTTAATACCAAATGTATATATCTGATATATTAAAGATATTGTATGATATAAGCTCATCAACATCGGAAACGCTGCCTGTGCGGACCATCATTTTTCAGTTCATTAGTGTAGCAGAGGTAACTTCCATCATCTCGCCGAAGATATGTATTACAGAAAGGAGGAGGGACCGTACGTTTTTCACGTAATGATTGCACAGTATAGACGACAGGTAGACTCGGAGGTAGAAACGGGAAAAGAGAATAAAAAGAGAAAATGAGAAACGGGAAAGTGAAGACACGAATAAAATGCAAATGGCTATTACTTGATCCTTGAGTAGACGAATACGAAGCAGGCGGAAGGGTACTTTTTGAACGACGGTTTACTATCTATTACCGGACGACGGGGTGATGGTGATGCTTGCGCAATTACTTGTCGACTGTTTGACGACGTACTCGAGGGCAGAAAGGCGGACAGAGGAGATTGTTTAAAATATTCGCTGAGATGTTCTCGACAAGAGCGAGCGCACTTCTTTTGACTCGTTTCCACCAGGGCAAATTGGAATTTGGATTTTATCACATTACGATCCTTGTTATAATAATTAATGAATAATTATAGATGACATTTTATTTTAAATTCCTTTGAAAAATTGTTCATAGAAGAAAGTTTTTCTACATAACCTTTCTAAAAGAAAGTATTTTTCATTATAAATTGTTAAGAAATATTGCAAAACATACATATTTTGTAAAATCATTATTCATAATTTTCAGAAAAATTATTATTTATCAGTTTGAGAAATAGTCTTATATGTCTTATTTATTTTATGGCATAGATAGCTACTGACAATTTTTGCATATTTGTCTTTATGTTTATTTATCTTTAGGCAAAATTTAATTTAAAATATATACATTTAAATTAATTCAAATAAATGTATTTTATTTAATAAATGTAAAATGTAGCGCGGAAAACCAAAGAAAACAGAAAGCTTTTTGCTATTAAAGACGTCATACAGAGATAACGCGAAACGAAAGAGTTGGATTAATATCAAGATTTAAGGGATGTGGTAGGTCTAGTTGCGGCGCAGGCAACAATAATAAGCGTAGCGCACGTGTGCACAAAAGCTCTACAAATATTTGCCGGAGTTTGGTAAGACTCTCGAGACATCTTCCCGTCTCGAAGGAAATGCTCGAGTGTCGCTATGGTGCAATCGCCAGAGACGACACCTTCATGTTTCCCATCTGTAAGAAATTCTTATCTCCTTCTTTCTTCGTCACTCACGCTATTTTCATGAATTTGTTGAAGATATTCGCAACTTATTATAACACTTTAAAGCAAAACATATATATTAAAGTTGAGTATTTTTTTTCATCTTCTTAAAAATGTGAGCAAAAAGAATTAAAAATATTTCACATTTATAGGATATTGCTAGACTTATAATAATGTAAATTATAGATATTCAAGATATTTGTAAAATTTTATTAATTGAAATAAAATACTCTTTCCTTTTATAAAAAATATTATGACATTTTTAAAAGATAATTATACATCCTTCTGTTTTATATTAAGCAAATATACATATCTCTATATAGATACGCAGCTATATGTTAAAATCTTATTTTTAGAGTCTATATTCATTTTCAGTTTATCCTATAAACGTTTCTCCTATAAACAAAGATGTGTACAAATTTAAAACCGGTAACTGAAATTACTGTACGTAAGCTTTTAGCACGTAACGCAATATGTAATAAATTCTCGCTTAAAAGATAGATGTACAATGGTGTGAAGTTAGCACAATATTTTGTTAATTTAAAAAAAAAAACAATAATAGTTCCAGTAGCACTTTCATAGATCTACCAATTCTGATAAATATTAAAAATGTTCAACATTTTTAATACCAAAAAAATAAAACTTAAAAAATGACGTGCTAACTTCACGTTCCAGCAAGGCACATCTCCCTCTAAAGTACTATATCCCGTCAAATATTACGACATCTGTCATCAAGTATTCCAGTTAATCCTAACTTAATTTCATAATTTATATAATACTTCAGCAGATTTCAGATTTAAATTTTCGCAGCCACTTCAGCACAATCTAATGAAACATGCGTAGAAAATTTCATGCGTAAAATTTTTCACACGTTTCTAATCCCTGAATTTATATAATTGTTTTATTCTTAAATTTCCATGATTTTTTTTCTTTCGTGAAAAGCCTGGTGGTCGTTGTCACGTCCCTTAGACATATTTATCAGAATTGAAGTTTATCTACTAACGCTAGCTTTATGAACCCTTATGACTATGAATCGCTCATTAAATGTTGAACTTTTAATTCCACCCGTGTAATATGATCTTTGTACAAACGAGAGAAATCCCATGTGATCGCCAAACACACGCGCGGAATCGTCGAATGGCAGATGCGCAAAGAAGCTGGGAGACTTTCGAACCAGCGTTCTGCAAATTTACCGGTTGCTTCTAATTATAGCGGTGTCCTCGCTTCACCATGTATCACTTTTGACTCTTTAATTTTCGTGTTTCCGTCACTTTTCCCTCGCATCTATTCGTTATTTTTATTTTATTTCCGCATTAAGTATTCACAAGAAAATCACGACCACCATATAGAGTACAGCGGGGTAATTTGAATAATGGGGTAATTTAAATAACAGTAAGCATTTGCAAGAATTTCGAAAAAATAAGTGTTTTTAAGATACATTTCGGTAGATCAATGTCTGATCTAATGAAATGTATCTTAAAAACATTTATTTTTCCGAAATTCTTGCAAATGCTTACTGTTAGTCAAATTTCCCCACTATTCAAATTACCCCGCTGTACCCTATGTATAAAATATATATGTATATGTACCTACATATATATTCATATTTATATTTATATATGAAAATTTAAATATACTTTATAAGCATATGTAGTTTAATTTAAGATTAAATTAGTTTTTACTCAAATAAACTCCTGTTAACATAATTTAAATAATGTAAAGCCGTCATCATTGATCGGCGTGTCATTAGCGATTGCGTTCTTCATCTATTGTCCTTAGCTTCTTATAAGATCGCACCGAGGTCTTGGACAAGAATTTCGTTTAACTAATATTTAAAAGATAAGCGCACTGTTTCAGACGGCGCGGCGTCATAGAGTTTACATAGTACGTTGACCTGCATCTGGATCCTTACGCAAGTGTGTGCGCCCGAGTCGCAGCACACACCACAGCGCGTTGACCTGCGAGAGAGCATTTTGTACCATCCACCCCGCTTACTTTTACCCTCTCGTTTTTTTTTTTAATAAAGTAAAGTATGGATGTAGCACAATTTTTTAGAACATTTTAATAAGAGAATTCATTATTAACTTGAAAGAACGCAATAATCTTTTCATAATTAGACATCACTCAAAAGAATTGTATTCACGTATTATTATTGTTTCGTCAAATAGAGAATTAATCACAGGCGTGACGTATGAATAAAAGAATTTATTAGAGTTTCCAATGGTTCGTAATTTGGAAATTATTGACGAATTAATATTAAGCTGTCAGTTTATCTTGGTGCACGTAAATATGAATGAAACGCACAGCGGTTGCTCTGGCTTTTATATAAAAGATATGGATATAATATACACGGCGATTATTTAAATGTTTTTCATGTGAATTCAGCTTTCATATCAAATTTATAAAAAATGTTATATGAAGATTTAAGCCACCAGTGCAATTAATTTGGAATTACGTTTATAGAACATTTTGTATATTCTTAATTCCACTCGTTATTTTACACATATATCCGCTATCAGTGTTAGTCAATGCGCTCTTTCACGATGAAATGCTACTGCACAGCCGTCGCTGCAAACACGCGCAATGCCGATTACTTTGCAATCGCTAATGACACGCCGACCAATGATGGTGTTTTACATTAAAATGCATGCGCAACTGCGCCCGTAAGCGGCTTACAACGCGCGCGCATCACGTGCTATGTCTATATGTATATATATATATATATATATATATGTGTGTGTGTGTGTGTGTGTGTGTGTGTATATATATATATAATCGGTATCTACTACGACATGATCGCAGTACCTAATGAAGTCAAAACTGTAAGAGGATCATCTGGCAACCACGGAGAGTAATCTAAACGTTTGTAATGTCACAGCAGATTCGGCAAGACATCGGCAATAAATCAAAAGCCTCCGGCTCCAGCTGTTTCGCCGGTGGAAGTAGACAACTTTTAACGGTCACCCTCCCCTGTCACGTCGTTTAATAGCTTTTTATTTATATGCAGCTTATGAATTTTTTCTAGTCTTAATATCTCGTATTTTCTCACATTTTTACACTGCAGCGAATGTAAAAATGCGAAAAAATACACATTTTGAGTTCGACTTTAAAAAAATTTGCCTTCCCAAATAATTATTTGCTTTGACATCGGTTATCATGAGCATTTACGAGATGTCTGTTCTACATAAATATATATGTACATGCAGAATATTTATAAACGTTTACGTTATATATTATATATTAAATACATATTTCTCTAAACCAAATTTTAATTAAATTTTAGAATGCGTTATAATATTTGTACGGTTGAATTGATATGGATTATTAATGACTTGCGTAACTCATGGTACAATTGGATGACCTGTAACACCAATACATAACTGTAATAACGACAATAGTGATAAGAATTATAATAATAACAATAATAATATAATAGAATTATTAATATGATGTATGTGCGAGAACATAATGTATTTGCGTACAACACGGAAGACATAATATTGAATCATGTAGTTTGGCGTATTAATTTATTCATTCTCTGTGGATTTGCATTTAATAAATATACAATAATATGAGAAAGATATCATCATAGTTTTAAGTAGAATTACGTAGGGATTAAGTATATAATATTTTGTATAATAAAGTTGAAATACAGTAAAATATTACTTATAAATTTATCAAAAAATAAAATTTATAAAGATATGAAATAAAGAAGATAAAAAAGTCTTTTTTTTAAATTAATACACTTATTATATTTAATAAATTATAAAATTTCTGAAATAAAAAAAGAGACCGTTGCTCATTATAATAAAAGGATACTATTATCACTGTATGAGAGCAAAATATTAGTTTCTCATGTAATTTTAAACATAATATGATTTAAGCCAGAATATATGAGTTAAAATAAAATTTATAAATCATTTTTAACAAATAAAACAACAATATTTCTATTTTAATATTTCTATTTCTTGCATGCATCATTTCAAACAGATATATTTAAATGCGTTAATATCGTGAAAGAAATTAAATTAGATTTTAAAATTGGAAAAGCTCTCGTTAAAGTCACTCCAGATTGCCTTATAAAAAAAATTTCCGTTGTAATGACTTCCGAATGATAAAATAACTGTGAGCTATGAAAACTTCTTTTTTTTAAATAATTTAGCATAAGTATTTCCATTCTTGAAGCCTTTCATCGTTAGCACGAGACCGCGATTTCCCGAGCGGCACGCGACCGAAACTGTGCACGCGAAGCTCTTTTCATGGTTGATGAATGAGCAAAACGGAAAGGAGAAATGGGATCTCATGTTGTACTAAACGGTAGACCAGTTACACGACTGTTGGTCGAGCGCCGAAATGCTTAATAGTTACATGTTAGTTAACAACTTGCGATAGCAAATGCGCATGGACTTGTGCCAGTAATACATTATGTAAGCGATGTTAGATATCTATCGATATATTAAAGACAGATTATCATATTGAATCACATCTTATATAAGGATACCTCTAAATAGCGAAATTTAATATTAAAAAAATGTTTCATCATTTCGGCTTTTTTTTATTAAAATGTTGAGATAAGTATAATTTGTAAAAACAAGAAAGAAAAAAGGGACGAACTCTGAAATTATTAACGGTCTCTGCTACATATTTATTTTCGCAGAATCTGCGTCCGCAAGTGGAAATGCGATTGATCGAAGACGTGCTGTGTTTGTATAGATATTTCACGTATATGCGGATACTAGTTGTTGGTCGCTTACTTCGGGGCCGACGAATCCGTTCGACGACGAGAGAAGCCGCGAATTTCCCTGGATGGAATACGTACGGTTTCTGGGCATAACGGGGTGCACGTTTAATCCCTTGGAACGAGTCAATTTCGGTGCGCCACGAACCGAGGGTAAACCCTTCCGATATACTACGAAGATAGGTAAACCCTTTCGGATTCGATATGGGATAGAAGGATTCGTCGTAATACATCAGAAATGGCACTACTCCAAATCTATTGTTTTATTTATTTGCCATAAAAAGATCGAATTGTAATAACAAGAATTGATCGAAATATAGTTTATTTCTTTCAATTTTTGGATTTTTTTCTTGCTTAAAGGATCTTTCAGGATTATATGGAAGATTTTGTTGATTGACATTTTTACATCTAATTAAAGAATTAGTAATTATGATATAATAATTAAATACATATAATACATTAAAAAAACGTCGAAAAACAAAATTTTTTTATCTAAAAATAAAATTGTCTGAAAATATAGACTTGGTTTATAAATATAAAAAAATGATAATAATCCTCCTTCATTAATTTTTTTATAGCACGTTATCTTAATTATAAAAAAAAGGAAAAAATGGAGACACAATTGCTTCCAAATAAGGTTTATATTTAAGGTAATTCAAAGAAAATCTCATTTTAAAACATTAATGTTACTTGAAATAATATGGTATCAGAGCCGCACACTCGTGTATACGCGTGATATTACAGCCGACAATGTAGCAAGTTTTAATTAAAAACGGAAGACTCTTTTCGCGTACTTTTAATTAATTCGCAACATCAATGGCCGGCAACTTGTTTAATATTGACGGAGGTACCGACCCGTAATATTGACGTTCTCCCCCCTCCCTCCCGTCACAAGGGATGCTAATTACACGAGAATAATGTAATTGAAGGCCGATCATAAGCATCAGCTTACATTTAACAGAGCGCATTGACGCGTACCGCGTTGTGCACTGTTCGAATGCAAACACATTGATGTCCGACACGCGGCGGGAGAGCGAGCAGCGGATTTTCATACATCATATGTATCGCACAAAATCCGTTGATACATCGCAAAATACAATACGGGGGGAGGGGAAAAAAAGCAAGCAAGTAATTACCTACCGCGGTAGACACGGCGCCTCAACCCATCCTCGTAATTTAATTCATTATCGCATTAGCGCGGCTGAAAGTTTCCCGGCCATTATCATTCTACACACATAGAATTACATTCGCGCGGGCCGACTGAGAGATTTCCGAGTTCTCGAAGCAAGGTGCTCATTAGGGCCTTTATACACTGCGCAATCTGATGCAAAACTGCAAAGGTCGGATGCGCATCTATTGTGGCTTTTTATATAATTCGAATGAAAATGTTAAGGTTTGAGGGAACATTTTCACCAAATTCTATTCACACGGATTACATGCGTATGATATAATTAATCATAAAATTTGCATTATTATAACATTACACACAAGAGCTTAAAATACACACGATAGCTATGCTATAATTCAAATATACTATTTCAAATGAAAATATAAGTATACATATGTAAGCATAAATATTTTAGTATTGTTCATCCGCAAATAGTATCTAGTCAATTTGATTTACGTAAATAGTAACAATTACGCTGTATGCGCTAGGATTGTCACGGTGTTGTCAAACATAATTTGTTATCAATAACCCAATAATGCATTATTGAAGAATTGTAATTAACCTTTTGCAATGTTTATATTAGAAGAAATACTCTTAACAATTGAATATATAAGTTAAATTTCCCCTCAATTTGCTTTATATTCTCAATTTTCTGAAGAGATACATTTAGCTTAGCTGTTAAGAACTATTTTTATATTGTTTAAGTAAATTTTATGAGTCCTGGGTTACACGTTATAATTACGTTGTTTAATTATACTGAAAATTTTGAGAAATGCTAGGTATCGTTGCTAGAAACCGGCTCCGGCGGCCATTATGCCGCGGCGAGATATGTTCCGCGTATCAGTCTTGTTAGATTAATGAAGCCGTGTTTTCCGCTTTTTCGGTGCAGCCGTGATCCGCATTGCCGCGCGCGGTTCGGCCGGATCGACCGCGGACGGGATCGAGGGAGAGGGAGGGAGGGTGTACGCGTGTACTGAAACTTTTGCGTGCCCTCGGGCCTTGGAAAAACGAAGCAGAAAAATGGCCCTCGTTGCGCTCGCAACCGCCTGATAATTCGATTGTTCGTCGACGGGTCCGACGCACGGGGTTTCTTGCACGAGAACTCGGAACTCGTAGTCTCCGCGCTTGCCGATTCCCTTTGCCGGCCGAAGCGCCGTTAATTATTCCTGCGGTGCCTTAAGGCGAATTTACACGGCTCGCTCTTGACGATCATCCCGGATGAATCGGCCAAAGTGAATGCATTGCACATGAACGCGTTTTTGTTTAGACTTTTTAAACTGCGCAGGACGGAAGGATACGTATCCTCTCAACCAAATGCATGGAGGGTTTTTAATAAATAACGATAAGCCACACACAATTTTTAATCAACCTTCACCAATTCAAAGAAATGGCAAATTTTTATATATATTTAAAATAAATAATATAATTATTTAATGTTTTATAAAATCCACCATAATTTTTAATTTGCAAATGCTGGCTAATTTAATTTATTATAATTTATTTATCATATAGTGCTTACTATATGAAACCTGTTACACTTATTATTATTTTTTTAAATATTTTTCACATAAATCTTGTTTAGCTTTATATCTAACAAGACAATAATATCTGTTCATATCTCATTTTAAAAATATCGATATAATTAATAATTTTTCCGTTCTTCTTCTGCAAAGAATTCCTGATAAGCTTCAAAAAGATCAGCAATTAGTACTCGAAACGATAAAAATGGTAAAGTTTCAGCTATTTTTCATGTCGCGTATGAAAATTTTTCAAGTTTTCACGGATTAAAACTTTTTAACGACAGTGGCAATGGTGGTGGAAATAGCAGTGGCGATAGTAGCGGACATATTTTCCAGAGTTTATGTAAGTTAGACATTTTTTGGAAATTTGACATGTTCTGGAGATAGCTCTCCATAAGAGTTCTTTCAAAAAATACGTAATATCAGTTTCTGATAAAAATAAAAGAATTATTCAGGATGCATTCAGCAGACAAAGCAAGTGAGTGTTCAATGATTCTTTATTACGATTGGTTTTTATACGCTTGTGTTAGTCCAGTGAAAAAGCAAGAACTAATCGTATTATTAAAGAATCACTGAGCTTTGTCTGCTGAACGCAACCTTATCAATTTTTGCAAAAACGTGAAATTAGTACTTTAATCTTAAAGAATCCCAGTTACCTTTTTATTCTGAGTTCTGGAACTTTTGTTGAAACGTATCAGTGACTCTACTAACCATTTGGTAAAAAGTCTGAACTTTAAGTAGGTATATCGAACCTTCGAAAATGTGCAATGATATAGAAATAATAATTATTAAAGTGTAGTATTTTGCTATCATTCATTTACTGATTTTCCTTTGCTATCAGTTTAATGGCGCTTCGTGGTATTTTAAACGTGATATTAAAAATTAGAAAACAATTCGAGTTGCTAATTCAGTGTTAGTCATCCCAGATTGCCGATGCAACTCGATTAAAAAATAAACTGTATACATTCACTTTCAATGTGCTCACGTGAATGAGACTCATGCTCGTTAGTATTTCACGCCGCGAATCCGACTGCATCGGGTCAACTTTTTTCTTTCCGCCGCGTCCTTCTCCTCCCAGCGTGCCATCCTACGCTGATAACGCATTCCCTCTTGTGGTCCGCGACTGCCGCCGGAATAAATCCCGTGCGGGCTCGTCAGCGGGACTTTTTCCGAATTATTCCGCGGAACAGGAGGAACTCGGTGCCGTCCGCACTAATCCCGTATAAACCGTCGCGACTTGTGGCGAGGTATTTTTCGCGGGAGTCGCGTAATGCGCGTGACGGCAGATGGAAAATCTGAAAATGCGGCAGTCGAATGAGAAGCTCGGGATGAGCGGCGGCTGAACGAGAGGGCGTCTCGTCGATATTTGAAAGAAAAATATTGAATAGACAGACGAACTTTATTACACTCGTGTGAATTTTAAAGGTGTCTAAATTTTATGTGTATATATATATATATATATATATATATATATATATAAAATTTAGACACCTTTAAAATTTCTTCTTTAAGTTTGGAATAGTTGATGTTACAATTATGAAATGTTCTATAATAATTAATGAAATTTTATGCAAAAAAAATTCAAGAAAATCAAATCAATTTAGATTAGTTCGGAATTTTCTAAATGCAATTTATATACCCAATACAAATTAAACGTATATTTAAGTATGTATATTTAAACTTAATATTTTTACTTTATACATAGTATAATTATTTATAACATAAAATAGCTACAAGAAGTTGTAGAATTTAGATGCCCATCTCTAATAAGGAGATATTCGATTTTATAAAAATTATCCGTTACTGGATTAATATTATATGTGTAAATTTTTGAAGAATTTTGCAAATTAAATGTCGGAAACGACATGAAAAATGATATTTCGCTTGGCAAGAATGACTTTTACAGTTGCATTTTCACACAAAAATACGAGCGCAATTTAATAAAGCATATGTTGAAACTTAATTAAATTGTCGTTGACGCGCGCATCAGACGGTGATAACATTTGCAATTCTTTCTTGATTGACAGATAATACATTTTACATCTATCGCATGCATGGCGGTTTGCAGCATCCATTAGCAGATTTTACCATGGCACTCACCGCCAGCGAATTCATTTAACGCTGGAAAATAATCCTTTATAATCCCCTCTACGCGGAGGCCACCCTAAATGAGAGAACCATCCCGTAAGCTCTCTATGTACGCCGACGTATTTTAAAATAAGTAATATCGTCGGAGTGTGTTTGTGCGATTAGTATATGTTAGCAATAATTTGTTTCAAATCCATGCTCACTATAACCATGTTATTAAATTGTATCAATGTGAAATTAATTATTAAAGCAATTAAAAATTATGCATATGTTATCTTTTAATATGCTTCTTTTTTTAATTTTAATAAACTTTATACAAAATATTTATTATACAATTTTACGACCCCTTTGATTTATTAATTGAAGTAATTGATTAATTTAATTGAACTATGAGTAATAAATATTTTAAAAAATTCTTTGTCATACGTACAAAAAAAAAATTTTAATTAACATGTAACGTTAACATCATGGTGTAAAGACTATATTCTATTATTCTTTACACCATGGTTAACACCAAACGTTGATTAAATTTCAAACATGCGATTTAAGGAAACTTCAGAGCTTATCCAATTTTTATTTTAGACATTTCAGTTTACTAAAAAAATGTGCAAACAATATACGTAAATGAACATAGTAAAATTAAAATATCTTGAAAGCTGTAAAATGCATTAAATACATTTAAAATAAGCGCAAACATGATGGATGACTATAGAAATCTTCCGCCTGAAAGAATTTCGTCTATGCCGGGTAAAGAAGCTGCTGTCGAAAGATTCATGGCCGTGTCAGATGATAGGTTAAGCAGTCAGATTTTTCATGTAAATTTCTGTTATAACTCATGTTCTATTTTTAGATATTGTATACTCACTATCTCGTATACGTTTAGAATTTTATCTTCTTTTTTTTGGCGCATAACTGATACATGTCAAATAAATTTTTGTTACTCAGGACGATTGTGATAGATTTGACGTAGTGGTAACGTCACCCTCGAGAGACTTCAAATATTCTACTTTGGTCAAACCACCCGTGGTATATTTGCGTACTTCCATTCGAGACGTTCTTGACGGTGTGGAAAAATTCAATAAAGGCTTTGACACACAAAAAACGAATTCCTATTGGATTACTTTGCCCAGACATGTTGTCGACGTGCGAAAGATGAGTATAAACGAACGAAGTCTTTTACTACCGTTCCAATTTTACGATATGTATTTGCGTATATTTGCGCACTCTAAATGAAAAAATGTTTTTGAAAATAATAAGTTAGGATAAAATCTAAAATTTTTTTATGTTTTAAATTAAAATCAATCAAGCCTTAGTAGATAAATGCAAAAGTTATAAGCATGTTTAAAATAAACGAATCTATTTGCATGTAATAATTATAAATGATACAAACATACGCATTTATATAAAAATTGCAATAATAAACTCGAAAAAATTGAAATTAGAAAATACAGGGAAATTATATCTACGTAATTTTCCAGTTGTTTCAGTAAAAAAGATTTTTTTTTTTAATTAATATAAAAATATATTTTATATCGCGCATTTTGCTCGAGCCTTATAAGCAGATCTTTTTGTATATTCTTGATTAAACATTGCTGGAAGGTTTCGTGTTACATAAACGCGCCTGCATTTTGAAATAAAAAAAAATAACACGCAAACATTTTCTTCCTCCCTTAAATATTAATTCAGAAATGTGTGCCCGCCATTCCGTCGGCGTTGCCATTACAACGCGTCCGACATCGTAATAAAGACAAATCGAGATTCGCAGAAGGAGCGCTCATAACGAAATTTTATTCTGAAGGATCGATCTTTCTTAAGGAGAGCATCGACGATGTAAACGAGGTATGACGCGAGAGAAATGAGCACTCTGAAATCAGAATTTGCGGGAAAGAGAGTCACGGAAGCGATCAATTTTATTTTTCTCTACATATGTCGCCCGTAAATTTAACGCATCACGCCATTAGCCTTAAGAAAAATATGTGCGCAAACACAAATATTATTTAGTTTCCAAATATTATTTCAAGTTTAACGTAATAATTATAATTAAGACAAAATATATAGAAATAAAAATTGATGTAATGATATTAAATACCGAACTTGAAGGAAAAAAAGAGAGAAATAAATTTTGCATTAACATTTTCGACTAAATTAGTGAATAAATGTTTCACAAAAAATAAAATGCTCTAATCACATTTTATCATTGCAGAATATGAGAGACAAGTTGCGAACGTCTCTCAGTGTGCCGACCGTTCCTGTCTTAGACAAATATAAAACAAAGATATATGTTGCAAAATCAGATTCTGGTATTCACGACGAGAAAGATTTCAGAGATCATGCTACAAAATGCACCGTCTACAAACATATAGAAGGCCATTTCAAAACGAATTTTAAACAGTATGGTAAAGCTAAGAAGGACACAACAGTATCTGATATACATGAATCATTATCTGATTATGATTATAATAAAGATAAATTGTGTATTGTTCTAAAACATGCTTTATCGCTAGATCAATCATTATATAACAACATTTATAATCAAGATATGAGTGTAGTCAATAAAAATACGAATCATAGATCAACCATATCCAAAAGTTGTACATTTCTTCGTGAAAAGAAATGTTCAAAGCTTCAATGTTCACAATTCAATCATTTAGTAAATCAGATCTTGCATTAAACCATTTAATTTATAATTATATTAAGTTTTTATAAATATATTTTAAATTTTATTGTATACTAATATTTCATTTTTCTATGTATGTTAATATTAATAATATGTAATTGACATTAAAATATTAATAATATGTATAATGATGAAGAAAAATGTGTTTTTGTTGATTGGAAAATTGTGAGGATATTAAGAAAACCGTAATGGAGTCAATCACAACGGAATATACCGATAAATTTTCATGGTATTCGTCTGTAAGCGCTTTACATTTTCACAGAATATGCTCTAATGACCAGAGGCGCTTGGAGCATAAAGTCCGAGATAGGCTTTGCGAGCAGTTTCTGATTGAATAGTAAACCGAGACTCATACGTTCGCATTAGCGTACAGAGAATAATCCCCCAGACGCAGCTGCCAACGTCTATGTAGCCGCGTTCCCTTTCAGTCACTATCTGCGTAGCAATATTGCGAGCAGCCAATTACCGTGGGGTAACGGACGTCAATTATAACGACTCGCTCGCAACAGGCTAGCTAAGTCGAAACGCAAACACGACAGTGCAGATAGATCGAACGCAAAGAAAATTTGGCTTTTGACAGCGTGAATAATCTATTTTAAAAGGTATTTTTAAAATGTTGTATTTTCTTAATGTTTCAATAGAAAAGAAAAGAAGAAAAAAGATAAATTGTAAACTTTTCGCTTAAGTTAGGTTTTACTTAATTGTTTGACTGCTGCATGAATTTATGTGATCGATCTTCTGGCGCTGCACTTATTATTTCTTATATGATGTTATTTTAAGTAAATTTTTCACATTAAAGTACATTTTTTAATAGAATTATTTTTTAATAAAAATATTGGGCAAGATTGAGAAATCTCTTCCCAGAACAATATAATAAAATCGATGCAAAATGTTCTTAATTCATATACTTACTACAAACAATAGTAAGTAGGAAATATGTTAAATTAAAACTAAAATTGATGTGCTCATACTCTGAATACATGTAGATGTTTATTCACAATTGGATAGATATAATAATCAAAGCACCAACCTATTAAAGTTTATGTTTAAGTATTTAAAAAAACATTGAAAAATTTTTTTAATTTCTATATCATTAAATTTCTTCAGAGATATTGATTTTTACTTATATTTTATAAATCGTTATCATTCATCTTATTTAGTTTCTAAGATAACAACATCTTGCTCTTTTCTACCTTACAAGATTGTTTTTTTTATCTGTTTTGCTAATATTCTTGTGATTGTTTCTTTTTTATATTCTTATCGACGGCGGAAATTGAGTGCTGTGACAGAGATAAAACAAATCAACAAGACGAAGGAAACTTTGTGAAACGTTACAGAATGTGACTGCTTCTCACTCGTACGAGAAAAATCGAGCGAAGATGGTTTGCATTATGTTTCGGACGAAGAAACAGCTGTGATAGTGTTTCCCGTAGTGTGTCCTGAAGTGCTACAGTCGAAAATAGAGGTGTACAAAATAAACTGAACGAAATGAAATGCCAACACGGAATTGATATGAGAAACTTAACGAAGGAATCTTACAGATAATTTTATTGTAATTTCATGACTCAATTTAGATATCTACAATACGTTATGTAGAGCAAAAGATGATTTTTTTATCGCGTAAATTTTTGTAAAAGTGTAGAAGGTTGTTGTACATTATTAAAATTTAATATTTTACATTAATACATGTAGAAAATGAAGATATTACATTGTTAAGTATTAATTTTTAAGTTAAATTAATTTGTCAAATCAATATAAATTATGAATGTTAAATAAACTGAGTAAATAAGTCAGTTTACCATTAAATTTTGTTAAAGAGAAATTGATTATACAAATTCGTAAAAGCTCTTGCAGATGAAACGAGTCAAATTTTAATTTAGCTTTGAACCTGACTAAATTTGGGGCACCCATTATAAACGTTTGATATGCTACATGTTTGCTGAAATTATATTTGAAACGTGGTTTATGCAAGTCTTTTCCTATCGTGAAGCGCATGGATTTGCGGCATGTGAATTCAAGCGCAGCAAGCGTGTTTGCAAAAGGGAAAGCTTATATTCGCTTAATTTCAGCCGTATTTGCGTTAATAAAGTTTCGTTATTACGCTGTTCCTGTTTATTCCGTTTTGAAGGGAGTCGAACGCATGCTCGAAGGATAATTCGTCTGGTAATTTCTCGAACGTGCTGCAGGCGATGCATTCCAAGTACGCATACGCGTGCCAGCATTATTCCCAGTATTCTACACTGTCCTTTGAACGTAATATTTAGGAAATTATATTTCACACAAATCTCGCAAGCATAATAAACTCGACAATTTTTGCATTAAAATTTACATTGAAAATTATATGCACTTCTTAAATCTTGGTTTGTGAAAGCTGTATTATCTTAAAATAGATTAAAATATCTATACATTTGCATAGTAATTTAATTTTATGAATAAAGTCGAAAATTAAATGTAACGTATTAATTTTAAGAAAATCAATGTTAACTCTTTTCTTTTAAACTATATAATAGAAAATTCTTTTATATACGACCAAAATATTATATAAATAAATAGTACAAACATCAGAAAATGAAATATAGAGAATTTTAAATATCGATATTTATATAAATTAAGCTTTCAGAAATAGTTAAAAACAACAAATTTTTGTCATGCCGTATATAATTTTATCTGAGTTTTCCTAAAAGCTATTTTTCAAGAAGCAAGCATGTCATAGAATTCGAGATGCTTTCAGGCAAAAGCTAGCTTTGTTTTGCAAGTTAAAAAAATCTGGTTACTCATCATGAGTGCATCTAAATTTTTCATTTTTTCTTAAAATGTTAACAACGTATGCTCTGTCTCTCAAACGTAATATAAAAAATTAAAAACTTACGTAATATGAAGCAAAATAAGGGAAATATATCTTTAGCTATTATATAATATTATAAACACTGCATTGTAAAAAGTAGCCACTTAGTATAATCAAATATCAAGTGATCGGAATTTTGATGTAACTGTGATTAAATAAAAAAAAAGTTTTTCTTACTATTTCAATACGATCCAGCGGGAACTGCTATTTCGAATTCCAGATGGAATGGGAGACCGGAATTCGGGCGCGGAAACGAGTTTCGCTCAAAAGGACTCGCCAATGTTTGCCTTCTCGTACTGAAGAAGTACCGCGACTGTTTCACGGGGTTACCTTAAATCGAAGACATCTTTTTCTGTTGGTGCTCCGACGTTGGTGCTCGGAACAGTTACAGGAATCTCAATAATTTCTCTCTCGACTGCGACGTCGCGACTGGTCGTCACAGGACGTCTTTGAGCTCTTTCGTCCCCGTGCGGTCGCGCACCGTCGCGAAGGAAAGCGACTTTGCCCGCAGAGTAAACAACCGGGCGCAATTTTCCGTCGTTCCTTAAAAGGCGTTGGAAAGAAGACTCGCGAAGAAAAACGGATGGTTCCTGTCGCGAAGAAATTCATAGTCGTAGTGGAAAAATGCCGGTCTGTCATTTAGCGCGAAGTATCATTCTCTTGTGCGACGATTTTCTCATGAACAAAGAAGAAAAGTCAATCTTATCGATCCGTTTAATTTCATGAAAAATGTATTTCAATAATTTATATTATACGATTTTAACGCATATTTACTCTTATTAGCAGATGTCACATTTATCTCTTTATGAGAAAAGCAGGTCTAATATATCTTTTATTAATTTTCTGAGTATTAAATAAATTAAGTTGAAACAAAATTATTATGTACTTAAATATAATAATTATAGTACCTAATTTATAGTAATGTACATAGTAGGTAATTTACACTTAAAAATTTATTTTTTATTACGTCAATAAAAAAATTGTAGGTTATTAAGATAAGAAGAAGATTCAATTGTGTTCAAATTTTTTTCAGATCCATATACATTAGTAATCTATACTTATTATTATTATTTTCGTTTTTATCACAAATTTGCTGCTATCAAATGAAGAATTGCCAATTAGATTATAAAGAAAATCGTGATCGGTGACGTTAATCCATTAATCTCTCCTAGTCCGACTTTCATTAAATTTTCCGTGTCAGCCCGCAATAGTAATTAGCGATAATTACGTGCAGACTCGCGGCATTGATCAACACTTAATTAAGTTGAGGAACTCCGCGCGGGAGAGAGAGCTTCGCGAGAATTGAGCCATGAAAATGGGAGCTTTTAACGCCTCCTTAAAACCCGTGTGGGACATCCTCCGACCGTGCCGTCTAGACCTACCCCCGCGCTCGCGTTCGCTCCATAATCTTTCACGGCTAAGACGTGAAGAAGAGGGTCCAATATCGCGATAGTAGCGAGGTGCTAGGTCGATTCCCGCTCTCGTCTTAAGCTTATCGCTCGTTATCCCTACAACTGCCGGCACTTTGCATAATAAAACGCTACGTATGCCGAACTGCCGCGGTAATTTCGGTGACCCGAATTATGAGGAACAATGAGATCGCTTCAATTATCCACCGGCAGGATCATTCATCCCCATCTGCGTTTCGTTACGCCCCTCTTATCTCTCTCATATATTCGCCTTTTTACGTTATGAAGGAGTGCGCTACGTACACGTATATATGTATAATACAGGAAATATAACTTTTCGCTCCGCTATAGATAAAACGCTTTATCGTTCGAGCTGAATATTATTCAAGGTATAATTCTCTCTCAGCTTTTAAGCATTTTATTCTGTAAAAATGTCGGGATGTCTTAACTATCAGCAAATGTACTAGATTATCAGATGTATTATAAAGATGGCCAAGGATCATAAGATGGCACGATTGTTATATAACTGCTTACAGAACAGTTAAATAATGCTGAAAACAATACTTGAAGACGAGAATATAACAACGTGGATTATTGCGTTACTGCAAAAATAAATGTCACAACAAAAAAATATCTATACGGAATATAACGGAATGTAAAAGTCGTTTTGGCGTTACTTCGCGTTTATGCTACTTTTTCTGAAGATTTATACATTGTACAAATTGTATAATTTATTTTTGTAATTATAACTGTCTAATTAATTTTTTTAGTTAAAAAATATTTCGCATCGCATACAAAGGACTAGAATTATTTATCTCCGACAATACATTTATTCTGCATTTTGTACAATCCTTTTATTTTTATCTCTCTTCACGGTCACTTATGAAGAAAATAAAAATGCAATTTCTCTGACATGCTAACTCACGCTTGAAGCGACGCAAATAAAGCAGATTCAAACCTAGGCGATGTATATGCGGTATGAATAACTGTGCGTTTCAATAATAGTTACATACAGACTGCAAGTCTGCAGGAGCAGTTCATTCGCTTTCTCGCTGTATATGCGAATGGCGGATATCAACGATACGCGTCTCTTCCTCGAGATCATCCGAGCGAGATGAGCACTCTCAGTTATTACAAGTAGAACAATGATCTCAGCCGGGTACGACACGGCATACTTAATGGCCCGGGCTGCGAGATGCAGCGGGGGAAGAAAGGGCGGGAAACTCGTCTCCTTTTGCCATTCGCGATAAGCAGCTACGTTTGAATCCGTAACATTTAGCTGAAGGCATTCGTCCGTGAAAGAATTCAAGCGTTAATCGTAGAATAAAACTGGCGATAATAGCTCTTGCTCGTAATATTAGTGTCGGTAACAGAGTCGGAAACATATTCTTTAGATTATCAAAATTAGAAAATCTTCTTGAAAAAAAAACTCAAAAATCAATTCGCACTTGTACAGAGATATATTTCGAGAAAAAAAAAACAGTTCAGGCATTCAAGCGTTTATCGTAGAATGAAACTGGCGATAATAGCTCTCGCTCGTAATATTAGTCGATAACAGATTCGGAAACATAGTCTTTAGATTATCAAAATTAGGTTTTCTTGAAAAAAAATCCAGAAATCATTTTGCACTTGTACAGAGATATCTTCGAGAAAGGAAACAGCTCAAGTAGAAAATAATGTGCTTGCTTATTTGCGCATTTAGAGAGTTCACATAACTCCGTCGTCTATCCTTGAGTGCAAAGCCATGCTTTATAAATTATGCAAGCTTCGAAATAAAGTTCAACATATGTGTAAAAGTAGAAAAATCATGCGTTCCTCTCGTGAGATCGTAGAAAAAGGGAGGACACGCACGAGAGTAGAAAGAAACTTTTCGATTCTAAGCTTGAGTTATCTCTGTCCATTCTAGGCCAGGGTGTTTCCGCTATTGCTATCCTTCCTTACTTCTGCCAACCTTCTTAATGCATTGAACGGACAACTCAGACGCTTAAATTGCTTCGTTAAATCGGCCAAGGCGCCGTCATGGTCTCTCTTCGTCTTCCACGGAGCTTCCTCTTTCTCATTCTGTCTTTCCCTCTCCCGCCCCGCGGTCGTCGTCAACGGCAGCGTCCTCGTCGAAAAAGCGTCCGAATAAAGAAAAGCATGAATAATGTAATCCGTATAATATCAGGCGGATAGGAAGGCTTGACATAACCAGATATAACACGAGGGTGCATCCTTCGTGGGTTAATAAACGGGAAGAAGACTTCGCGCGGCAGACATCGAGCATTTTCTCGCTCGGTTGGATTCACGCCAGATGATGACGTTTTTCCTTTTTCCCCCCGCATTACACTCGCGATTTTATTGTTGCGAACTGAGCGACTTTTAACATTAGCATTTCTTGTAATTCCAAAATAATCACAAGTGACAGAGAGATAAGCAGTAACTTGTAACTAACCACTAATTTTGCATAAAGAGTTAATCTATTTGAATTAATCGATAGTAATCGATTATTAACAGTAATAATTAATTACATTTTTGTTCATAACAAATTAAAGAATCAAATAATTAAATATAAAATTAAAATTTGTTAAACAAATTACTTTTCATTAAACGCCTTTTAAAAAATATCAGGGTAATTAGGTTAAAATAATCTAAAAGTTTTTAACTTTGATTAATAAATAAATGCTTTTCTAAAAGTTATGTAATAAAAAGACTGTAAAGCTTAAATTCCAACTTTTAAAATGTAATAATATATAAAATATATCTCTCGTAATCAAATCATTAAAAAAAACAAAAATCACTTTAAGAATTTAATTTAATGTGTTAACAAAATTTTTTTTCTTATATTTTTAAAAACATATTTGACGTATTTTCATTATTTTTACAATTGCCTCTACGTATTTTAACAAATTTTATTCTAAAAACAGAACATTTTTTTCAATTTAATATAAAAAAAATCAAATTGTATCGCATTGATTGTCAGGTATTTATTGAGAATTCAAAAGATTTAATATTACATCACTTTTTAACATTTAAAAAAATGTGTCCGGTTGAACGTGTCTCGAGTTTTGCATAGCTCGGATGATTTATAAATGTCGCCAATAGCAATTGGTGTTCGGATATACAACCGACATTAATCCCACCACAAAAGGCTGCGACTGCGTCAGCGACTCTCGCGTAATCTGCGATTCTCAGCGCTTGGCGCCCTTGTCATCGTCGTTGTCATCGTCGTCGTCGTCGTCGTTCTCGTCTTGTCAAGTGTGTACCGTAGCAGAGAATAGTGCCGTCCTACCCTTCGTGTTCTTCACTGCAGACGGGAGAAACTGCTTGCCTCCAATATCGTTCGAATCTCTCCCATACGATGCGGTTTGCACTGTTTGCAATGCTTTTCACGAAGCGAAAAAAGTGAAAGCGATAAATATTATATTATAGGTACATTAATCGCGCATAATTAAAGCAAAATATCTACACTGTAATTTCTAATTAGGTTCGTCACGTAATAATTGCAAAAGGATACACGTTTAATAATTGACTTGTTATACAAAAATATTTATCTTATTTATATTTTAATTATTATTTATTATTTAATTATTATTTTATTATTATTTATATTATTAATATTTACTTTTGTACGACAAGAGAATTTAATTAAGCGTTAACATAATGCTTCTTTGTGTGTACAAAAATACAAAAATATTTAGAACTTTTATAAATTATATAATAAAATTATATTATTATATAACTTAGGAAAAAATACTTATAACATTAATTCACAAAATTATTGAATAGGTATCTGTTTACTCTAATATTTTTTAGCTCGTTTTTCGAAAGACTACATTGAGTCCGGTACACACTTTTATCATTGCACAATAAAGTGCGCTCTTGTATATCGTTACCAGTCTACGACATCGGATTACCGTGTACATTCGTGTCACGCCATTATTCCGTCATTGTAGTACGGCGTGGAAATCCTCTTTTCCGGTTAGACCGTGCGATCGATCGATACCCGATGATCGCAAGCGCAGACTCGACGTATGGGACAAGATTACGTTAAACCGCGGGGTGTTATGAACCACGTAAGACGACTCGCGCGCAATTCGGGACAATTTCGGGTTTAGTGGTTTCTGCTATTTGCACGGGAAATTGCGCCTGCTGATGTCACATCCGTTAACCCTCCTCTCCGCGGAGCGCACAATTGTTCGGCTCGCAGCCGCGGGTCGATCGTGGGATATAGCGTGCACAACCATGGTGCTCTCGCGTTCTCGCGACTCGAACTGGAGAACCGTGGCGGGGAATCGGGAGTCAGGGGGGGGGGAGGGAGGAAGAAATCTGCTCCCTATCTCTCTCAAACGCTCCCGTAAGGTCAGGCACTTGACATCGTTTCGCGTTGACGGCCTCTTATCTGAAGAATGAAGACTCTTGTTTTCCTATTTTCTGGATCCTCTCCACGCGGATCCGTTCAGATGTTTTCTGCTCGGCCCGTAATTCTATCGAACGGTTTCTCTTTCTTCCGCTCTTTCTCTCTCTCTCTCTCTCTCTCTCTCGTTCTCTCGTTCTTTCTTTCTTTATGTTATTAGGCAATACATATACTGCGTTATGATATATATGTAGGAAAAAATTTACTGCCACTTCGTCACATTACGTACCTACCTACATAAGAGGAAAATGATGTTAATACCCTCTGCTAGAAATCTCATCCGACAAATCTTTTCCTCCTTCGTCAAATGTTAATATTTTCAGTTGCTTATTTAAGAGACATTGACATAGTAACAATTTTTTTACTTTATGTAACATTTATTCTATAAGTTTTACAAACCTAATAAATCGCAATAAAAGATTGTTTTATGGATATGTTAAGAAATAAATATTCAATGCATAATAATTGCAATTACAATTTACAATCGATACAACATAATGTATTTATCTCTTATTCATTGTTTCTTTCAATCATTAAAAGTCTTTTATTTTTCTTTGAGAGTGTTGCTATTAAAACGGTATAAAAATCTGAAGACAGACCAATAAGATTAAAATAAACAAAGTAATAATAACAATTGTATCGAATTTTGTTGCATTAAAATCTAATTGGAAAGTATGTCGAGTGTCAATACTTATACCCTCCAATTATTTGTATTCTTCATATTTTTTGCAGTATTACACGTCGCGTCATGCGTCTCTGGAGAACGTCAGGATAAAACCAATTCAATTAACTCGTCCACTTCGACGTCGCGCGTACAGAGATATCAGAGCGCTCTTTTCGGAAAGCCGCTTCCGTCTTCGTCCTCGCCTGCGACTGCCGGGCGCGCTTTGGCGACCAAGTACACGTCGTCACCAAATGGAATAATAAATCACTCTCTTAACGGCGAAATATCGCGCAGACGGTCGAGATTTTATGCAACCAGTCTGCAGAATGCATATACTCGGATGCATTAATAGCAATCTCGTTGCATTCATATCCAGCTGACTTAATGGGACGTACGAAGAGGGAGGAGAGATAGATAGAGAGGGAATAAGAGCGAGAGAAAGAGCGGGGTGTGAGCGAACTAAATACATAAGAGAGAGAAAGAGTATTTGTATGTATGTGTGTGTTGATGTGTAGGTGTGTGACTGAGTGTGCAATGACGGCGGGTGAAGGGGTGCAAAGGGTAAAGGTACGGAGACGGTGAGAGACGAAGAGGAGGAGGAGGACGAAGAGGACGCGAAGCGGACGAAGGGACAGGGACAGAGAGAGAATTCAATTCCACGGTCGATTATGCAGCCAGTCTGCCGGATTACTGCCGGTACGCGTTTCCGTTTTGCGCCGATGAAGGGATTACCTTGCGTGTATACTACATCCATGCGGGTGCACGCGAACGCACGTGCACGCAGAATATCGTGTAACTCGTATGTCAATACAACATATATGTATACATATATATATATATATATACAGGATGTCCCATCTCTACCGCATTTCCTTTTAAGAACGTGTTCCTGAGATAATTATAATTTTGAGTCGAAAATCCTAATACAAAAATATCGAGACTTTTACTTTACTTTCAAGGTATAAACGATTTTAATTAACCGCGGATATTAGCGGCTGAAATTCGCGCGCTCAGGCACGACACATCTGAAGGCCGTTTATAAATATCAATACACGAAACTAATGTATATATGTATGTATGTATATATACATCGGTATATTTACATATGCATATATTTATGTATTTATATCTTATATATATATATATATATATATATATATAAATATGCAACCAGTAAAATAAATAATTATATATGCATGTATGTAATATAATAAATTATACACAGATCTATCAATTAAACTAACTTGTTCTGACATAAGCACAATATTACAACAAACACATATTTGTGTCATTGCGGTATTAATTTATATATTAATATTATTTATACAAATTTAATTAAAAAATTATGTGACCAAATATATCAACAATAACACACAATGAAGATAAAGCCATAATGTTGAAAAAATATTCCACATAATAACATAAGGTTTATAGTGAGCTTTCCCATCGCGAAAACGGTGACCGCGTTCCGGTCGACGCAATATTTCTAACCGTGGCGAAACCGCGCAGACATATATTCTCGCTGGAAACGTTTATTAACGCTTTTTCTACTTGTTAATTTCAAGTGGTGAAATTGGTGCGCTCCATTTGCACTGAATCAATGTCACCGCTGTACACCGGCGATCTTTTGGCGAATCAGCGACGTTCGATGCGATAATTCTTGCGACCGCTCACCGACGCACGAACAATACCGACAGTCGAAGTCAATACATTCGCTAAACCCAGGAGCGTTCTTTCATTTTAGCCCAAAACTCCTACTCGCGAGAGCGTCTCTTTCGGCGAATTTCCGTGAGAATAACGGTTAGAACGCGCGACAATCAGTCGCCGCGATTTACGACGCGCAATAAACCTTTCGCCACGATCGCTCTTATTATAAGCGTTCTCGTTCCGGCAGTTTGTACGACATATTGGAAAAAATATATCTGCACGTGGTCGAGAAAAGTACGATTTAAAACCAATGAGAGTTCAAAGAAGAATTTAAAGATAATTTTAACTAGATGCAATATGGGGCAGTGTAACAATAATCGGGTAACTTTAATTAGAGTAATACGATTATTTATGTATGAAGAATATAATATTCTTAAAATTCTAACAATATCAAGATTTATCGTTTCTTTATCATTTTTTATGAGAAATAAATAAGTTTTTGTCAGACCATAATTGCAAATAGATTTCTTTAGAGATAAAGAACGTTACATTTAACTAACTGTTATTAAAATATGTGTATTTTGCATAGATGTTATATCCTTAAAAATTTCCGAACTCTCATTTTCGACATTCTGTAGATACACTGCGCGCGAGATGTTGCAAAACCAGAATGCCCGCATTTTTCTTCTTTTTTCTCCCGCCTTGCGCGACGATAACCGCAAGAGTTATCATTGTTCAACTGGCTAACGGTCGACAAAAAGAACTCATTTTTGCGGGAGAAGGTCGTGAGATTCCATCGGTTTTGCGCGGGTGCAGCTGCACTGTTTGGATAGTTTTTATTTCCCGACTTCTAGCGTATGCCCGGACTATTGCGCACATTGTTCAACTTCGTAGTCGTAACGTTGCTATGCGTGCAATTTAAACGGCAATTAGTAACGCGTTTCAATACATCCCGATTATTACATGAACGCTAATATTAATCACACATTATTACATAGTAATTAAATTAAATTTAAATCGCATACGTAGCGAGATACCAGAGATACATGATTTATGTAATACGTTTTGAGTTAATTAATGCCAATGTTAGCGACGCTTCCGCGAGCACGTGCACCTTTATGTGTTTAAGTAATGTCAAACGATTTCCTCTTTCTACATACCACGATTTTTAATTAACTGGCCACAGATACGTGGGGTTTTATTAGAATTACACACGAGAAAAAGAATTTGTTTCCGCTCATATATTTGTTTAGAACTTATTTAATTACACAAATTGGTAAATGTAATTAACTAATTACTATATGTTAATAATAAAATATTTTTTTATTTAATTTTTATCTTTTACTCAGCATTCGCTAGTAATGTAACATTTTATTTAATTCTTTCTTCTAGGCACTTTAATGTAAGTAAAATATATGAATATAATTATACTTAATCTAATTAAATAATAAATAATTATCATGTAAAATGAGACAGAAAAAAAGTTATACAGAAATTTAATTTCATTTTATTTACAAGTATCTCTTTTTTTTTTATATTCAAATTATACTTTTTGTATAAAGGTTTTTTACATTTATGTCCTCATATTTATTTTAATTATCAATTCGATAATATAAAGCACATCTATAGCATGATAATATTTAAATTATTTTAAAGCATGTCCGCAACACGTAATGCGTAAATTTTATTTCAAAGTAGTAATAATGTAATAAATTCTGTTGAATTATAATAAGTATAAAATAATAATAAATTTCTCGTTAATGTTTTGTAAAGGTTAATAATAAAGTTTTATTATAATATTATTATTGATAATTGTAAACTATATTACAAATAAAAAGTTTTTTAAGTATCAAGAAAAAGCCATATTTCAAGTCAAATGCAGATTATCATAGAAAATTTAATTAAACTTATCCAAATATTTAATATTTAAATTTTCGGTTTTATTTTACAGAACTGTTCAATTTGTAATTGAAATCAAATTATTATATAAAACATTTATCTTAATTAAATATAAAGTGGCAATTTTTATACATTTTAAAAATAATTATTATTAGATGAAAAAAATTTTAGTTGAATGAAATGGGCTGTGTGCATCATAAGTATATATGTAATTCTTTAATTTAATAATTTTTAAGTAGTATATAATTTTTAAAGAGCACAATCTCTCTGCTCGTTTTCACAAGAGTCGTACGAACGACAATTTTGTTCCCCTACAATTAACAACGTATCTCAGCGATTCTATTGAATAGAGCGACGGTATGTTTAATCGGCCGGGTTAATCCCTCCTTGCGAATTAACTCAGAGCAATCGTATCGCGAACGAGAGGTATAAAGACCCTTTCGCCCCGTGCGAGTTCGGCAAGGTAAGACGAGTCGACGATGTTCGCCTGTGTCCTTAACCCTTAAGAGGGCTGTGAGATTTCGCGTTTGAACGTTACGATACGCCGCAAACGTCTCTGATATTCTTCCGATCTACTT